ACTTACACAGCATCTGGCACTGTGCTAAACTCGGCAAATATAAAAATAAACCAAAAGAAAGACAGTCCCTTCCATCACACAGCATATTTCTAATGCAGGAAGACAACACATAAAAAGAGGAGTGGGTGGAAGAAATGAGGGGGTAGGGGTGGGGAAGAGATACTATGTTGAAGAAAGTGCAAAGAGTCGAGAGGAGCTCAGAGAGGAATGAAGACATGGCTGCCCTGAGCATTTTACTTATAATGGAGAGGCACCAACCAATCAGAGAAAGGGGCTGCAGAAGTGGATAAGGCAGCTTCTGCGGCCCAGAATCAGGAGTGGAGGCCAGAGAGGAATGAAATTACCATGCATGTTGTTTTCCTGACTTTGTTTACTTCCTTTTGCATCAGTTCATATAAGCGATCTCATACTTCTCGGTATTATTTATATTCAATGAAAAGACTTAAATGCTAAATAAAGGAGGTTGTATTTTATTCTAGAGAGAACAGAGGGTCACTGAAGCTTTCTGAGCATGGATGTAACATGGTAGGACCTGTGGTTTAAGAATATTAATTTGTGGGTACGGAAATCTATCTTACCCTACAGGAAAATGGGGGGGGGGAGAGGACAAGAGAGCAGGGTGATGATAGAGGGGAGGGCAGACTGAGGGGAGGGCAGACTGAAGGAGGGGGTAATCAGAAGCAAATACTTCTAAGGAGGGACAGGGTCAAAAGAGAGAATAGAATAAATGGGGGGCAGGATAGGATTAAGGGAAATATAGTTTTTCACAACATGACTACTATGGAAGTGTTTTGTATGACTACACATGTATAATCTGTATCAAGTTGCTTGCCTTCTCAATGAGGGTGGGTGGGGAGGGAGGAAGGGGGAAAATTTGGAACCCAAAGTTTTAAAAACAAATGTTTAAAAAAAATTGTTTTCACATGCAACTGGGAAGTAAGATCTACAGGAAATTGGGTATACAAATCGATCATGCCCTACAGGAAAATGGAAGTAGAAGGGGATAAGGGAAGGGGGGTAGAGAGAGAAGGGAGGGCAGATTAGAGGAAGTGGTATTCAGAATGCAGGCCATCTTGGGGTAGGGGGAGGCACAAGATAGGGAGAAAATTTGGAACTCAAAATCTTGTGGAAGTGAATGGTGAAAACTAAAAATAAATTAATTAAAAAAAGAATATTAATTTGGTGCTCTAAATTACTACTGATTAGAGAAACAAAAATTAAAATAACTCTGAAGTTCCACCTCACACCTATTGATTGGCTAATATGACCAAAAAGAAAAATGAAGTGAGAAAACTGGGACACTAATGCACTGGTGGGAGAGTTGTGAATTGATCCAACTATTCTCGAGAGCAATCTGGAACTACGTCCAAAGGGCTATAAAACTGTGCACAGTTTGTTTTTTGGGGGGGGGGGGGGTGGGGGGGGGGGGAATTTTGACCCAGAAAAACCACGGCAAGGGCGGAACCCAAAAGAAAGAAAAAAAAAAAAAAAAAAAAAAAGAGAAAGAGACAGAGAGAAAGAGACAGAGAGAAGGACTTATTTGTACAAAAATATTTATAGCAGCTTTTTTTTGGTAGCCAAGAACTGAAAATTGACGGGATATCCATCAACTGAGAAATGGCTGAACGTTGTGCTATATGTCTGTAATGGAATATTATTGTATTATAACAAATGACTAGCAGGATGTTTTCAAAAAACCTGGAAAGACTTATATGAACTGATGAAAAGTGAAATGAGCAGAACCAGGAGAACACTACACAAAGTAACAGCAATACTGTACAATGAAAAACTGTGAATGACTTAGCTATCCTCAGCAATATAATGATCCAAGACCATCCCAAATGACACACGATAAAATATGCTATCTGCCCCCAGAGAAAAAACTAATGGCATCTGAATATAGACTGAAGCATTCTATTTTTTACTTTCTTTCCTTCTTTCGTTTTTTTTTGGTTCAAGTTGTCTTCCACAAAATGACAATATGGAAATGTTATACATGATTATACATATATAACCTATATCAGATTGCTTATTACTTCAGGGAGGGAGAAAGAAGGGAGGAAGAGGGAAGGAAGGATAGAATTTGGAACTCTAAACTTTAAAAAACCCTAACGTAATTGGGGGGGGAATAAAATATTATTTTTTTTTAAATTGTAAAAAGCAGTATCACTTTGGCAGCTGTGGAGAATGAATGGAAAAAGGGAAAGACTGGAGACAAGAAGAATAATTAAGAGGCTATTACAGCATCTACTTACTTCAACAAGCAGAGCATGAAACTAAGGAACGGTCTTCTGAGTGCAGAAAAGGGAACAGTGGCAAGAGCTATTTTATGGAACAGTATCTGAAACCACATGGCCTTTGTCATATCCAGAAAGGTCCTAACAGCAGCCAAGGACTGGAGAGAATGACAGTGGGGCATAAAATTGGAAAACAGTTTCAGATTTCACCACACACAAAAAAAGTAATAGAACTCAAAATAAAATCTTCAGTCCTTTATCTTGGGAAAGATCTTCCATTGCTCATTTTGCCAGGAAGGCTGATGGAATTTTGGCAAAAATGCACTGATATTCATTTTTTAGAAACTGAGGTACTTGAGAATAAACCAAGAGCCTCTGTTAAAACACTCAGCAATTGCCCTAATATAGAGTGCTGCCATGCTCATGCAGGCTGGGGTCAGCTCAAGTACCTGCAAAGGCTGCTCATTAAACAGGTTAAGCAGTATTCTGAAGATAAAAAAAAAAGTCCTTTATCCTTAGCAGTTTGTTCAAACCTGTTGGTACCTGAGTGGTGACTGTCAGATTTTGTCTGGAAACAGAAAGTACCTAGAGGCTCCCTGCAAAAAGGCAAAGGTTAGTGGCCATAGTTAGGGAGGCCACTTCAGAATGGCCAGGAAAGGCCCATAAGAGTCTATAATTTGATTTCAAACAAATTAAAATAGAACAGAAGATCAAACAAATTCAAAGGTCCTGAGCTATGGGGAAACACTCTAAGAGAAAGCACTTAATGAATCCTCACAAGTGAAACCCTATCTCCATCCCCCTTACACATACATAAGTCATTCTCCCTTTCAGAGAACATTAGTCTAACTGAGACAGAAGAGGCCAGCACTGGTAACAGGATGACTCTCCCAAAAGACAAGGCAGGGAAAAGGATTCTTAAAAGGTACACCCCAAGGCTGCTGAGAGATACAAAACATATTCAACATTCAAGTATGGGCCACCAGTCAGGTCCCAACAAAGTTGAAGGAATGCCAAAGAAAGGTAATGCAAAATTAAATTCAGGAGGAACAAATGTGTCTGTGGCTATCTCACCTTTTTCTTTTTTAAAATTTTTTTTTGACTGAGCTGAGAAGACTGGATCTAACAGAGATTAACCTACAGTAAATCCTATACCTAAGCCTCTCTTTGGTACTCAACAAATAGCTTCTCTCACAGGTCACTGGACAGATATTAAATTGTCTTGTGGAGTTAATCCTATTCCTGTTAGTGATCTAACAAATTGCCATGGAATAATCAGTCAATAAAAGCTTTCTGGCCAACATGGCTGTTTGAACAGAGAGGCAGGCTGCCTAGCTCTTCACACCCTACTTCAGCAAAAAACTAGAATTACAATCAGACCAAATAATGATCAAGAAACCCAATGAGAATTAGTCAGTAAAAAAGCACTTAAGAACTTCTGAAAGAGAGAAGTTGGGAGCAAAGGGGAGGAGGGGAAGAAGATAATGAGTTCTGCTTTGGATACTCTTTAACCTAATCTTTTTGCTTTATTATGTGTCACCATCATCATCAAAAGGCATTTATTTTGCAGTCAAAGAATCATAAAGAATTCTATAGTCATCAACCAATCAACAAGCAATTATTAAGTATCTAGTTTATGTGCCAGGCACTATACTAGATGCTGAGAATGTAAAGACAAAAATGAAACAGGCTCTGCCCTCAAGGAGCTTATATTCTATTGGGAGATACATGTTTATAAATAAGCATATACAAAATAAATACAAGATACATTTAAGAGGGTGAGGAGAAAGCTGGCAGCTAAGATCAGGAAAGGTTGTGAGTAGGTATGATTTGAGCAAAGTTCTGAAGGACACAAGGGATTCTAAGAGGCAGAGGTGAGGTGGCAGTGCATTCCAGACATCAGGGAGAGCCAGTGCAAATACTCAGAAATAAGAAACAGGGAAATATGCATGAGGAATGGCAAGAAGCCCAGTTTGGCTGGCTCTACAATGAAGAAAATTGGAAAGGTTCGTTGAAGACAAGTTGTGAAGGGCTAAACAAAGGAATTTATATTTGGATCCTACAGGCAAAAGGAAGCCATTGGGGTTTATTGAGTAGAGGACTGACTTGATCAGATGTGTACTTTAGAAAAATCACTTGGGCAGTTTAGTGGAGAATGGATTGAGAGGGGGAAGAGGAGCAAGGAGACCAATTAGGAGGATACTGAAATAGTTTAGGTGAGAAGTAATAAGCACTTCAGACTAGGGTAGTGGCTATATGAATGAAGAGAAGGGAACAGAATAAAGAACATCATGATTCTTGCCCTACAGGAACTTATAATCTAGGACAGTCACATGGGCATGCAGACAGCAAAATAAAACTATGAACCAACACATTCTACAATTATCCACACTAATTATGGCAGAAGAGGAGAGTAAGGCATAATGGCATGAAAAATGTCAAAGAATGAATAATCAAAATTACATTTCAAGATACATTAAACACATTTGCCCAGGAGATTTACCTTCTTTAATTATGTTATTCTTAGGCTAATTATGATATAGTGACTTGAAGCAGAAGGGGACAACTCAATAATGTACTTGGTGATAGTAGGAAAGCAACTTTTCATTTTAAAATAATGGTTAGTAATCAACAAGAAGAATTTAATGATGACTTTATAGACAGTAAACTATCATATGCCAATTCTTCTGCCATCTTCAAATTTCATAAGCCAGTTCAGCAATAAAAAATAAACAAATAAATAAACCTTTCCCAATTCCTCACCTTCTAAAAGATCACGGGCCAAACCTGGTTCTGCTCCCGTGGAACGGACAAAATCTGACAAGACAGCATCCATGTCCAGGGTCATGTGATCATGAAATCCTCTCAGGCAGCTGGAGGAAGATGGAACATAGAGCAAAACTCAGGCTTCCACCTAAGAAGGAAATAAATGCACGTATTTCAAATTTCACTTTAAGACAATTAACCCAACCCAAGGAATTTTGCAAATGGTAAAACTATGCCAGCCTATTCACCCCTGCAGATTTTAAAGTTTAAAATTTAATTTAAGATACAAATTTAATTCTGCTAACTCGTCTCCAATATAGGAATACTACTTTGCTTTTTATTTCCCTCAAAGGCTGTTTTGACAGTCAACTCCCGAGTATGTCAATGAAGGGACACACTGGCACAAAGCACACTGATAGCTCAACCATAAAAAACTTTAGAGGTAGACTTTAGGTCTACCTCTAAAGGCAGGTCTTCATTAGACTTTAGGTAATGAAAGCAGAGATGTGCAGAACTGATTTTAAAACTATTTAAAGAAAACTTAAGGAGCAACTTTCTCAAAGCTGAAAGTAGGGAGTCCAAAGGTTTATGACAAAAGGGATTCAGCCTATTAATTACTTTGTCAAAGTAACCCCTACCCAATCCATTCAAATAAATTCCACCTGAAAATATCCCTTTTATAACAGACCAGTCTTCTACAGAAACTATGTCTTTGACCACATTTCTCCAAAGTTAACAACCTGCTCCATGAAGGCAGCAGTAATACAGTGAGAAGCAAACCTCTGATCCCTTCCTACCACCTCTGGCAGCTTTTCCAATTCCCTGGAGAAGGTACCTAGTTCATGAGCTTGTCCTCATCTCCTATGCCCTCAACCCCCATCTCCTAATAATCTGTTTGGAGAAAGTCAAAACAAAAATCTTCAAAGGCAAAAGGAGAGACTCCCTTCAGAAAAATACCTCCCACCTATCTCAGAATCCCTGGAGGACAGAAGTGCATTAACTCAGAACTAATCTTTTCCATTCGAAGCGTCCTGTTAAAACTCTAAAACTCCCCCCACCCCCTTGCTGCCTGTTTAGGGCCCTGCCCAAATCCTGATTTTCCACATTCCTCAGGGATGTTTTGACCAGACCTGTGATTTCATCAGTGTAGGGAGCTCCTAGTGAGGAACTTGTACCAACACATTTTAGCAACTGCTCTGAAACTTGACCTGTCCAGAGTTGCAAAGCCAGTATGCAGTCAGAAGCAGGACTTGAATTCAGGTCTTCTAAATTCCTAGGTTATCTCTCTAGCTATTACTTCACTTTCCTTCTCTTCTAAGGAATACTAGGCCAAATATACAGCAAAGGACTGAGGTCACTGGAGTACAGGTGCTATTTTCAAAGCAGAGGTTTAACTACTTGGTTACAAAACATTTTGGGGAGATGAAGGGGACAGAGAAGTTAGGGTATTCCCATAAATAAAGGGTAGGAGGCAGGAACCCAAAAGGCTAAATTCCTGTTGAAGAGATTTCCATTTAACCTCATACTATGGCAGTATTTCCCCACTCACAATGCCAATTAAGGCAACTCTAAATGATCTATACCAGTGGAAGAGAAATAAATTGCACTACAGATAATTTCAAACAGTAGAAAGTCCAAAAGCCATATTGTGCCAATTCTACCTTGTCCTAATTAATTGAGAAAGGTGAAAAGGTATTTTGATATTATATAGTTTATTAAGATTTTTATGTTGTTATGTATCTATAAAATAATCTTCTGTCCTTCTAACTATGGCTCCCCACACACCTGACCCACATAGAGAAATAAGGCTGGAGATGAGCAAGTACATGGGCAAAGGAAAGGTGTCTCCAGATAACTAAGCCTAGGACATTCCTATTACTGCAGACCAATCAATAAGTCAGGAGCAGGAAGGCCCAGAAACAGTCCCTGGTGATACCAAGGATGGGGCTTAAACAGTAAATGAAAGGACTTGGTATTGGGTGATATAACAGTTGAATCGGATCAGAGAGAGGATAGTTTGTGAAATAACTGGATCTTCTTCTCTATTCATCTGCATGGAAAACCAGGTCTAAGTGAAAAGATCTATATAACTTTGTAACTTTCCTCTTTCATTTACTAGTGCACCTCTTACAGGATTTCCAGTAGTTTTGAGGAATAAACTCCTTTTTTAAGGAAATAAAAAGAAGAGATATGTTGATTTCTGGGTCTACTTATAGTTAAAAGACTGGTTCTTCTGCAAGTCAATGCATGAAACCCAGTCCTGAGTGATAGGAAATAAAGAAGGGAAAATAGGAAGTTCACAGCAAATGGCCTCAATTTTTTTTCTGTAAAATATGACATAAGGCTCTCAGCTGAGAGAGTGAGGGGAGGGAGAGCCATGCAAATTAAAACAATTCTAAGGTACCACTTTACACCCATCAGACTGGCAAAGTTGACCAAAAAAATGACAAATGCTGGAGAGGCTGTGGAAAAATAGGTACACAAACATGCTGCTGATATAACTGTGAACCAGTTCAGTTATTCCGGAAAGCAATTTGGAATTAAGCTCCAAAAAGCTATTAAACTGTGATTATCCTTTGACCCAGACCCTACTATGTCAATACCCACAAAGAAACCAAAGAGAGGAAAAGGATCCACATGCACAAAAATATATAACTGCTTTTTTGTGGTGGCAAAGAATTGGAAAGTGAAGGGCTACCCATCAATTGGAGAATGGCTAAACAAGTTGTGGTATATGAATGTGATGGAATACCACTGTGCTATAAGAAATTAAGAGGATGGTTTAAGAGAAACCTGGAAAGGCTTCTATGAACTGATACAAAGTGAACAATTTATGTGACAATAACAATATTATAAAGACAATTTTGAAAGACTTAGGAACTTTGATCAACACAATAATCAAGTACAATTCTGGAAGACTCATGATGAAATAGTCTTCCCACCTCCACAGAGAGAGGTGATAGAGTCAGTACAATTTTTTTTTGGACATGGTAAATGCAGGAATTGGTTCTGCTCAACCATACATAACTAACATGTTTTGGGATTTTGTTTTGCTTTCTCAATGGGGAGAGTGTGGGGGAAAGAGGAGGGAGAGAATATGAACATGAAAACAAATTTAATTTTTTTTAAAAGTCAAAGGCGATTTGGAATTAAGCTCCAAAAAGCTATTAAACTGTGTATACCCTTTGACCCAGAGATATCACTACTAGGTCAATACCCACAAAGAGACCAAAGAAAGAGGAAAATAGGATATAACCATGACTACATCATCCTAAATGGCTTGTTACTCTAATTTCTAAGCCTCAGCTTAGATGCTTGCAGAATAGTCAATGAGCCCATCTTTTCCTCAGTCTCATTACCGACAATACTGATCACAAGAAACAGCCTAAAGTCTATAATGACTCCAGTCATTTCTAGTATCAAGTTCCAGCTCTTCATTATAGGTTTCAAGTGTCCTCTCCTTATCTTCCTATCTTTATTTCTTACTCTGCTGCTCTTCTATCTCTCTGATTTTGCACTCACTACTACCCTACCAAGAATGTTCTTACTGCCTCCTTTCAAATCAAGCACTGTCTGAATCTCCTCAAATGGAGTCTGTTGACAAATATATACTTGAACAACACAGGTACACTTAAGTATGTGTTTTTTATAGCTACATTAGTTTATGAATTTTTTCCCATAAATATAGTGTACTAGTCCTGTTGCATCTGCTTTTCTGGGACTTAAGGATTTTAAAGGCAGCAGCAGACTGGTCAACAATCCTTTGTGCAGCACATTTTTTATTTTATTTTTTTTTTTGGTGAGGCAATCAGGGTCAAGTGACTTGCCCAGGGTCACACAGCTAGGGTCAAGTGTCTGAGGCTGAATTTGAACTCAGGTCCTCCTGACTCTAACGCTGGAGCTCTATCCACTGCATCACCTACCTGCCCCGTGCAGGACATTTTCATTCACACAAGGGATAGCACTTAATTTGAGACATCTGGGAAGAGTCAGCAGATTAGAGGGGCTGTGGAAAGGAAGGTCACTTGTGGATTACATTCAGAACTGGTGTTTTAGAGAGATACCATATATCTGCAATATAAAGGGGGAATCCAGGCCTGGATGAGATCATCTAAGGGATCAATGACAGTGCGAGAGATGATCCTCTTAACTTAGTTAACATGCAGGTTATGCCAAGCTTTCTCTATTCCTCCAAATGTGGTATGTCATGCCTGGGGTTCCATCCCACACAACAGTATCACTTCCTAATGTGGAAGGCCAGGTATTTTATAGGGAAAGGCAAGATCTTGCTCAGGCCTAATTCTTAGACATTAAGGGTAGGTGTCAATTAGCAGGAAGCTACAGGTTTACAGCAAGGAAGACACTAGATATTCAGGGACTTCCAGAGTAATGTACCAGATGTAACAGGAGAAAGGACCATATCTGGAGCACAGATAATTATAAGAATGGCTAGATTCCCCTCTCCCACATCCCCTCACGAAAATTTTGTGGACTGATGTGATGCATATGGAATACATACATTCTAGTAAATTGCCCTGGGAACCCAAAGATGCTTTTGACAATGAGATGTGCATTTGTATGTATATGTATATATACACATATAAATAAATTAGTGATGTAATCCAAAGATCAATTTGGAAACATGATGGTGGCTGGCTTTAGGGTATCCTGGGTATTGTAGCAAAAATACCAGGGTTACACTTCTAAGTGGCAGCCTTCAAGTAAAAACGCCACTTTTTTTTTTAAAGTCCTTTCAGAATTTTTTCAGTTATAAATTCGTATGTCAGAGATGGAAGGAACTTATCTAGCCCAAAGCCCCTCAATTTCATGGAAAAGAAAACAAAGTCCCAGAGAAATGAAATAGATCTGCCCAAGATCACAGTGCTGGCCCTAAAAACTCATTACTTCTAGCTTGAAGGTCAGGTCACTTCCATTATGCAATGCTGGTTTAGGGCATGCCTCTTTTTCAGCCAGCCCAGATCAGAGTTTGTATTGATATAATCAATTCAAAGGATACAACTAGCTAGGCTAAAGCCTAACTCCAGTACAACATTCATTTTCTATTTCAATAAACAAAAACAGATTCTTTGCAACTGTGCACACCAATACAAATTTAGTAGATGATCCTTTGGTTACCAGATTGTTAAG